ATTTCATAGAGTAAGTTAGGTGGTAGCTGGTGCATGTATGCATGATAAGTGTCAATCTTGCAGTGAAGGCACAGGCTAGGTGGCAGCCTTGGAGAAGGCATCTCTGCATGCATGTAACACGATTGGATATTAAGGGAGGCGCCATTGGACTTGGCGAAAGAGTACAAAAATGAAAGGTTTCACCATCCCTATTGGCGAATAAGAGGTGGCACGTGTTGCAGAGTAGGTGCAGGCTAGGTGACAGCCTTGGAGAAGCCATGCCTGAATGCATGTAACACTATTGGAGGTGATGGGAGGAGACTTACATGTTACAGTGTAGGTGCAGAGTAGGTGCAGGCTAGGTGGAAGCCTTGGAGTAGGCATCTCTGCATGCATGTAACATGATTGAACATTAAGGGAGGCGCCATTGGACTTGGCGAAAAAGTACAAAAATGAAAGGTGTCGCCATCCCCATTGGCGAATAAGAGGTGACACGGGTTGCAGATTAGGCGCAGGCTAGGTGATAGCCTTGGAGAAGCCATGCCTGAATGCATGTAACACTATTAAAGGTGATAGGAGGAGACTTACAAGTTACAGTGTAGGTGCAGAGTAGGCGCAGGCTAGGTAGCAGCCTTGGAGAAGGCATCTCTGCATGCATGTAACACGATTGGACATTAAGGGAGGTGCCATTGGAATTGGCGAAAGAGTGCAAAAATGAAAGGTGTCGCCATCCCCATTAGCGAATAAGAGGTGGCACGGGTTGCAGAGTAGGCGCAGGCTAGGTAACAGCCTTGGAGAAGCCATGCCTGAATGCATGTAACACTGTTGGAGGTGATGGAAGGAGACTTACATGTTACAATGTAGGTGCAGAGTAGGCGCAGGCTAGGTGGCAGCCTTGGAGAAGGCATTTATGCATGCATGTAACACGATTGGACATTAAGGGAGGCGCCATTGGACTTGGAGAAAGAGTACAAAAATGAAAGGTGTCGTCATCCTCATTGGAGAATAAGAGGTGGCACGAGTTGCAGAGTAGGCGCAGGCTAGGTGACATCCTTGGAGAAGCCATGCCCGAATGCATGTAACACTATTTGAGGTGATGGGAGGAGACTTACATGTTACAGTGTAGGTGCAGGCTAGGTGACAACCTTGGAGAAGCCATGCCTGAATGCATGTAACACTATTGGAGGTGATGGGAGGAGACTTACATGTTACAGTGTAAGTGCAAAGTAGGCGCAAGCTAGGTGGCAGCCTTGAAGAAGGCATCTCTGCATGCATGTAACATGATTGGATATTAAGGGAGGCACCATTGGACTTGGTGAAAGAGTACAAAAATGAAAGGTGTCGCCATCCCCATTGGCGAATAAGAGGTGGCACGGGTTGCAGAGTAGGCGCAGGCTAGGTGACAACCTTGGAGAAGTCATGCTTGAATGCATGTAACACTATTGAAGGTGATGAGAGGAGACTTATATGTTACAGTGTAGGTGCAGAGTAGGCGCAGGCTAGGTGGCAGCCTTGGAGGTTACAACTTTACTTAATTCAAATTTAGTATGACCTATTTAGTCTTACATTTATCAAAACACTGATTCACTTAATCTGTCAAACCTTCCAACCTTCAAACCTTCAAACAATCAAACATACAAACCTTCGAATAACTCATAAACTTCAAACTTTCAAACCTTCAAACCTTCAAACAATCATACGCAATGGCCTTTGCACCCCAATATGTCATCAATGCACATTTCAACGGTGAGACATACATTTGTCCCACCTCTGGGTTTTTGTTTAGAGACACAGACAACATCCGATTTCTTTTAAACGGGAAAGCCAATTTCTCATACTTCAAAAAACGATTGGAGGCCAAACTTGGACAAGGCCCGGTGACACAAAGATTTTATCAGAATCTAGTTTTTTTTTGGTAACAACCAAATAATATTTTATAAGGTTGAGGTTCAAGATGACGAGGATCTTCAGAATATGTTTTCTAGTCATGTGTATTCTGGGTACGACTCTATTGAGTTGTACATTATGCAGCGAGAGCCTCAGGTGACACAAGTGATTGATCCTTTGGAGACCGAACAAGCAGAGGTAGATGCAGTTGATGAAGAAGAAGAAGATGACGAGTTAGAGTTTGATGAAATGGTGAATGATGATTCCGAAGACGATGGGATACCTGGTATTCCTGCAAACGAGATATACACACCACCTCCGCACATGACAAACTTCAACATGGGCGGAGATGAACCGTCTTCTGATTTATTTTTCAATTCGTATATGCAGTCGGATGAAAACTTAAAAGAGAAGGACAAATTTCGTAACAGAGAGGAATGCATCAGAGCCATAAAAAAAATTCCACATGCCCAACTCGGTTGATTTTAAGGTGGACCGTGTCAACCCAGAAAGGTACAAGATCAAGTGTGTCCACCCTGATTGTATGTTCAAGCTCACTGCATCATACATATTAAGAGGTGATTGTTGGGTCATAGGTTCCATGTCTACCCACACTTGTGTCAGTTCTACCCAATCACAAGACCATCGAAAACTTAATTACGATCTCATTTGTCAAGAAATCCTACCACTCGTCAGCAACGACCCATCTTTGAAGGTGAAAACTATCATCTCCCACATCACCACGGTTTTTAACTATACTCCGTCTTACCGTAAGGCGTGGTTAGCAAAGACCAAGGCGATTGAAAAGGTGTACGGAAACTTGGAGGAGTCATACCAAGAACTTCCTCGCTACCTGAATGCACTCAAGACTTATTCTCCGGGTACTGTTTACATTCTGAAAACAGTGCCAGCATACGCCCAAGATGGTAGTCAACTAAACGGAAACGGAATATTCAGTCGAGTGTTATGGGCATTTCAACCTTGCATCACAGGGTTTGCATCATGTAAACCAATTATACAAATTGATGGGACTTGGTTGTATGGGAAATACAAAGGCACGCTACTGATGGTAGTTGCACAAGATGACAACAACAACATTTTCCCAATTGCCTTTGCTCTAGTTGAGGGGGAGACCGGTGGTGCTTGGAGCTTTTTTCTGAAAAACCTGCGAACACACGTGGCTCCTCAACCAGATCTCTATTTGATCTCGGACAGACATGCCTCCATTGAAAGTACCTACAATAATCCTGCAAACGGTTGGCATGACCCTCCTTCTACGTATGTCTATTGCGTTAGACATATCGTCCAAAATTTCACGAGGGAGATCAAGGACAAAACACTAAGGAAAGCGGTTATGAATGCGGGATATGCATTGACACTACCCACGTTCAAACATTACCGCAACGAGATCCGTTTGTCAAATCCGGAAGCCGGTAGGTGGATCGACAATATTCCGGTGGAAAAATGAACTAGGTCATACGACAATGGCCAAAGATGGGGGCACATGACAACAAATCTAATTGAATCGATGAATGTGTTATTCAAAGGCATACGAAACCTCCCGATCACTGTTTTGGTAAAATCTACGTATTTTAGGATGACTTCGTTGTTTGCCAAAAGAGGTGAAATACGGAATGCGGTGTTGCAATCTGGACAACTATGGAATGAAAGCTGCATGAAGTACATTAAGGCAGAAAGTGCCAAAACCAACACTCATATGGTTATACGGTTTGACCGACACAGCCACAACTTCATTGTGAAAGAGACAATCGACCACAACGAAGGCCTGCCAAGACAAGAATATAGGGTTGTACTACCTTCTCGTTGGTGCGATTGTGGCAAGTTTCAAGTCTTTCGTATGCCTTGCTCTCATGTCATTGTCGCTTGTGCTTATACCCATCAAGACGCGCTACAACTTCTGTCACACATTTACAAATCTGAAACGTTGATCAACGTTTACAACAACATCTTTCCTTTGGTAGCAAAACCAGATTATTGGCCTGCATACGACGGCGAAATAGTGTGGCACAATGACCAAATGCGAAGGAACAAGAAGGGTCGTCCCAAAAGTAAGCGCATCACAACCGAAATGGACGACCTTGACAAGCTGGAAAGAAAGTGTAGTTTATGCCGTCAGGTCAGACACAATCGCAAAAATTGTCCGAATTGGGCGTCTGCCTCGACCACATAAAAATTGTAATACATAAAATCTTTCCTTAATTATGTTGTAAACATTAGGGTTTTTCGTTAACAGTATTTGCTACAATAAATATTGTGCGTACAAGAAAAAAAAACACGATATTCCGTCTACGAAATTACAATTGTTAAAACAATTCATCTGACCCATGCATCATCAACATTACGTCGCTGTCTGTTTTGACTTCCTCCAACCATACATTAGGTCTTCCAGTCGCATGTGAGGTTGTTGTTCGTCTTCGCTGGATCCTTCGAATTTTCCCCTCTCCACAATGTCTCCATCTAGCCATCGCATCAACTCCCGCTTCAGACGCTCCATGGAGTGAATGTGCCAGAATTTCATTTTCATCGCAGGTTTCGTGGTGAAGAAGATAACGTAACCATCTCTGGTAAAAATCATGGGCGATGTCATGACGCAAATAACAGAGTAAAAAATAAGAAAACAGTGCGAGAAAGTGTGAGAAATGACGGAGAAACGGACGAATTATTTATAAAAACAACATTTTGCCCTAGGAGGCAAGTGAGATGACGCCTTCTCTCACTTTTAAAGAGCATGCGCCATCTCACTTGGCTAAAAGAGAGAGGAGGCGCCAAGTGAGATGGCGCCTAGGGCAAAAATGTTGGTGGAGGCGCCAAGTGAGATGGCTCCTCCTTTTGGGAGTCATCTGAAACATGGTTATTTGTGTAATTTTTTCCGAAACGTGGTTATTTGCGAAATTTTTTTTTAATACCTAGTTATTCAAAAAAAAAATTCTAAAATAAAAAAATTGTAAAATGTGTGTGCGGAAAGAGAAGAAATAGATAGGCGCAGACAACAGGAAAGAACAATCTTATTGAATGATATGAATATGAATGAATCTACTATTTTTCAATACTTAACCAAATGAATCTCCTCTAACTTACCACTTCAATTCTCCTTTGTTCTTCATCTTAACAGTCTAAGATGTGTTTTTAGAGTGTCTGATAAGACAATTATTTTGAGGTGTATACGGTTCCATGGTTCCTGTGTCATGTGTTGTTATATGTACATGTTTTGGTTGAGAAGCCATTTCCTGTGAATGCGCAGGTGTATCAGTGATAGTCACATCACCTGATCTGGAAGAAGAGTCAGTTACATCCCGTACCTTGTTTGAAGCATCAAGCTTTTTGCCATGAATCAGCTTTGCAAATGTAATAACCGCTTTCCACACCTTTTCATCATTTGGAACGTCTTCATGTGTCTCCCTGGATATTAGACACCTGATGGCTGATATTAGCACACAAATAGTAGAAGTGGCGCCAGAGATGACATATAGAACCCATAAGCTTCCAAGATTCAAACTATCCGTATCATTGGAGGACGTCACGTTGGAGCAACTCTGTGAGGTAATTAACCACTGTTCTTCCAATCTCTTCAATTCTGCTTTTTCTGAGAGATGTAATATAGCTTTAGAAAAATCTCTGGTTAGAGGAGAGCCTTTCTGGAACATCTGCATCAAATTACAAAGAATCTTATTTTATATATATCCGAAATTGCAATACTAAAACAAAGAATCTAATTATTTTTGTATCATCACTTACAAAGCCCAATCCTCCAAATCTATTTCTAGGGGTGAAGCCAGTGTATCTCTTGCAGTATTCACTGATGAATACTTTTGCATATGGGAGCTCAAGAAAAGCAGCTGCTATGCTGTTGTTAGCGAATGCTTCATCATACTTGTATTCATTGGTAATGTTTATGATATTCTCTGGCTTGAACTTTTCAACTTTTTCTAGGAATGTCCTAACAAAGGAGTCTCCGTCACAACCAACTTTCTTGTTATTGTTCTTCAGCCACTGAATGTCTGTGACATTTGGTCGCAACTGCTTAACTGTGAGCATTGAAGAAAGACTAGCTGTGTAGCATGAGGTGAGAATCAATACGAGAATAAGCCATGAGATCATCACCGCTCGAGTTAAGTTGCTGTGCATTTTTTCCCCTGCAAGACGAAAACTAATACATTACTTGACTTAATTAGTTCACTGTTTTAAATTAGGTGCTTTCTTGAACAGGTTTATCTGTTTTTTCATATTGATACTCACTATGAGCAAAGAACAAAGAGGAGAAAGTAAACCAAAAAGCTGTGCTGAGCTGGAGCTTCCAGTTTCCATGAAACTCTGGATTGGGTTCTCTCTCGAGATACCAAACAACTAACATTGTGTAAATCAAGATTGCACCTGAAACCAACCACAATTCCCAGGTAAATGGTTTCATAAACATCCATGCTGATTCTCCAGACTTCATTGGAACTATCATTGATAATCCTGATTCTGCATATGCCACTGTAAAATCCACATACTGCAATCTTTCCTCTATTATGGTCATATCTCCAATAACAGCATCATAAGTCTTCCATCATAGTTTAACCATAAACAAAAAATCCAAATCAATAAATTCTCAAATTTCAAAGTTATTATGTTGCATTTGTTCATATTATTAGTTATTCCTAATCGCTAACTATAAGTATCTTTGTCATATTTGATAGGGAGGACAATGATAATCAAATAGAAACCAAAATAAAACATTTGATTTCAAAGAAAAATTGATTTAGTACCTTGTTATAGACAAGCTGAACCAAATCGTTATAGGTTCCATTGATGGCATGATATTTATATGGAAGATCGTACCCCAGAAGTTTCTGTACTTGCTCAAAAATGTCAATGCAAAATCCACTATATTTATCATCTTTTCCATTCTGGCTATACTCAACCTTGACAAACTTGTAAAACGAGGTTCTGCTTCTGACTGCAATTTTCAACGGATATTGTTTGGTAGGCATGTTCCAGCCCTTTGGATCACGGTCCAAATTCCCAGGCCAGCGTACACCCCTGAAACATTCTGTAATTCCAGCAACCTTATTTCCACCTTGTCCTGTATGGAGGACTGTAGTAAAGCCATGTTGTTGAGTCCAAAAGCATAATTCCTTGTAACTCTTCCCAGCCACATTTACAATTCGTAAGACAAGATTCTTCTGCATGAGTTGTCCAGCTTCAAGTTGAATATGTCCACTCAAACCAACGAAATTGCTAGACTGTATTTCTCTTATTAAACTCTTTGGGATGCTATTGTTTCTACTGGCCATTCTGTTGATTGCTTGAGTTACAATATTAATGCTATCATATGCTTGTAGAGCATAAAATCCTGGGTATCGGTTATCCTCCTCTGGATTCTTTAACCAAAAAGTTCTCCTGAACTGAGCCTCAAAGTCTTGATAATCCCTGCTTCTTTCTGAGTAGTAGGTTTTAATTCCTAAAGCTCCTTCCATATTGGAAATAACAGATTTATTGATAGAGTCCATCAAATTTGTTAGGCTCTCTGGGATTATCCAAACTGATTCTTTATCCACCAGCCCAACTTTTGAAGCTTCTTTGAACAAATGGATTGTCATTTCTAATGATGATTGCAGCACTATGAACACCCGAGACTGTGTTCGTTTTAACTTAATCATCTCTTCACTAACTAGCTCTCCTGGTTCATGTATAGATGAAATTGGGGGAAGGACTAAGCGGTGTTCAATCATTGAATCCACATCCTGAAGGGCCTCAGTTAGGAGGGCTAACATCCCATAATCTCCCCCATACCCGTCATCTTCGTAGATTACTACTACTCTTTTCCAGCTATAAGCCTGCACTATGTCAGCAATGCATTTTATATATGCTGTACCGCTGTTTGCTAGTCTCACCAGAAAAGGCCATCGAGTTTTCATCAATGGTGGCGTTATGGCAGGTGCTGCAAAGGATATGATAGGTACTTGAGATTTGCTTCCTATTTCAGCTACTATACTTGCTTCTGGCCATGTGTGCATCCCTATAATCACTTGCACCTTTTGCACCTTAATCATCTCTTCAGCTGCAATTAATGATCTCACATTCTTCATTATACACATTTAAGAAAGTTAAATGTTTTGTTCTAAAAAAAATACTAGATATACTAACCAAGTGTGACGGCTCCGATGGTATCCTTGGTGGAGTTCTGAAAATAGAGAGCCAGCTTGTAGTCTTTTGAAGTGTTGTTGTATTTCTGGGCTGCAATGTCCATGGCTACTTCTTGTTCTTTCCCAATTCGAGAATTAACATCAATGATCACCCCAATGGATATAACTTTGTTTGTCTCATCTCGGAAACCAGAAATGAGAATAGAAGGAGTGAGTAAGAAAAATAATAGCCAAATTCTTGCTAGTGTTTGAGAAATAGTTGAAAGGCAACGCATTTTGATGCACTATCTTTTGCTCACATAATCTACTAGCCTTTGTTGGAAACTGTATATGGACTAGCTGCTTATATATTACATGATAACATGCAATACAAGTAAGCATTGAGGAAAGGAAGGAAGTACATAGCAAATTAATATTAGTTAGATGACAAGGATTTTGGTAGGGTACCTGGAAATCGAACCGTTTGACTTTGTCAATTATAAAAATTTCTATTTTTGAAGTGTACAACACGGCATATAAGCCAATCACACAAGACAAAACATCCATATTCACACGTTCATTACAGAAAATAATTGATGTGATATGACTAGTAGCTAATGTTCATATGGTTGTGATTGTTTCCAGAGCATGTCTTATTTTTCATAAGTAAATTGGTATATATGTTTTCCTTTTTAGTAAAACTTGATTGTCGTATAAACATCACGTTAAGAGAGTAGTAACTTGCTATACTACAGACAATTGTTCTGAACTTGTGTGATTTTGTGTGGGAACAGGCCTTCCTAGGCCAATATTTACATCATGCAATTACTATAGTATGATTCAATCAAAATGGTACTCTTAAATTTAATTTAATTTTTTGTTGTTAATTTGATATAATTTCTAGAGAAAGGTTAGTTGAAAATTCAGCAAAAATGGAAACACATATTCTCCTTGGATTAGCTTTGAGTATTATATTGGCCACCTATGCTAAGAAAATACTAATAATAACCAGAGAAGTGGACCCCAAACTAATGACATTTAGGCTATGGCCACAAAGGAGACAAATTCATAATTAATGACTTTGGAATCTGTATGGGAAATTTGGGTTTGATAATTTGTAAGTATATAGATTCCATGGAGAAACTGGTCATATAATTCAACATGCAAATATCAACCTTATATTTATCATCTTTTAGTACCTTGTGAAATGTCGTACTTTGATTAGATAAAAATAAAGATGTATACTTCAAAATAGATGGCTGAGAATGAAACAAATTTAGAGTGATGTGTAATCCCTTGTGCAAGAAATTTAAGATGTCTCTTGACCTGACATTGTAATAGTTGAATATTTTGCAAGTGCACCATTGCGCTTATTGTAGGAAGAACCTTTTTTCTCCATACTGAATCATATATAGCGAGGTGAAGAACTGAAGATATTACATTTACAGGTTTTTCAGGAGGAAACTGATGAAATGAATCGCATTAGATAATAACTTTAAAATACATATATTTGTATTAAAATTACTACTACAACAATTGTTAAAGTTAAACAAATAAAAGTTGGAATGTATATGGCTAGCTATGATATATATACAGATCAGCCAACATGTGAATCTGTTACATAATATGAATTATAGTCAATGCATGTAAGTTTGTGAATTATATATCATTTCTATGGCATGGCTGCTGGTTGGGAGCGACGCAGATTGCCCGGTTCATCAGAAATGCTTATAGTCTCCAATTTTGGCGAATTTCGACGACGTACACCAAAAGTTGCAGATTTATTTAAACTCATGAGATTCTCAATGTTTAAACCTGTACCAACTCTAATTGCTCTCTGAGAATCATTATTATTGTTATCATTGTCAGATTCGGAGATTACACTTCCTTGAGGAAGTTGATCAGCTTCTTCATAGTGGTTATGTTTATGTAAACACTTCTTCAACAAAGCTACTAGTAAGCAGATGGTGGAAGTGGCAGCACATATGACATAGAGTCTCCAAAATTTGTCAAAAGTCAGACTCTCAGTTTCTTCTGGAGACGGTGAGTTGTTTGAGCACTTATTGGAAGGTGTTAACCATCTATCTTCCAAATTTTTTAATTTTCCATTTTCTGCTAGTGTTAAAATTGCTTCAGAAAAGTCTTTTGCCATTGGATCATCTTTTTGAAATACCTGCAAAAATCATAAGAGTATGAAAAAGAAAGTGAACTTTTTGTAAAAGTAAACAGGCCAAAGAAAAAGTTGTAGGTACTCACAAATCCCAATCCTCCAAATTTATAGGCTGCTGTAGTTGCAGTGTAATCTTTGCAGTATTTATTCAAGAAAACCTTCTCATATGGGCTCTCAACAAAGAGAGCAGAAATGTTTTTGCTCTTGAATTTATCCAAAATGTCATCTTCATTCTCAACATCTACAACTTGGTGCCTAGGGAAATTGTAGACTTCGACCAAGTAGTCCTTTACAAAGGTACTGGTGTTAAAACAACCAACTGATAGATTTTTTTGTTTAAGCCATTCAATGTCTCTATCTGACCTCAATTTTTGGACAGTAAGCAATGATGAAAGATTTGCAGTGTAGCTGGAGGTTATAACAAACACAAGAAATAACCATACTCCAACTACTACTCTTGCTGAGTTGCTGCTTATTTTTTCCCCTGGTATACATCAGAATCAAATATCATGCTACTGTTAATTAATTTGCAAAAGAAGGATTTTCCAAATGAAGAACATTAGAATCAAATATCAAGCTTTTCAAAGAACTAAACTTTGTTAAGTATTGCAACTCAGAAGTTCCGTAAAACAACCCTATAAAATTATTGACTTCTAATTACTAAAGAGATGAAATGCTTTTTCATATTTATAGAACAAGTGGAAAATTGAAAATATTGTTAAGAATCTCAAACTAAATAGATAGATAAGGCCTGAACATACGTTTATTTTTGGGAGTGTTCACCTTCCAAGTTAGTTTTGTATTGAATTAGTTGGGTCACCAGCTATCAGATCATCACCATTGAGTCATGCTCTAAATGTTTAGTCCTAAGCATGAGGAAGGTGTTAAGAGTCTCACATTGAATGAGGTAAGATTTGAACTTAAGTTTGTAAGAGGAGACAATCCTCACTTTACAAACAAATTTTGTAAGGGTTGAACTAGGTGCAACCCAAATTCTAAAGCATAACAATAGAAAATCAGAAAGCTTTGAACTTTTGTAATATTCTATACTTACTCTGAGCAAAAAATAGAGAAGAAAAAGCAAACCACAGAGTCGTGCTGATCTGGGTTTTCAATGGTCCACCAAATTCAGGATTCAAGTGATGTTCCAAGAACCAAATGGTAATCATTGTGTAGATGAGGATACCAATAGTTGCAATCCACATTACCATGCTAAATGGTTTCATAAACAACCATGCTGAATCTTCAGTTTCTGCGGGAAGTATGAGTGATAAGCCCGATTCAGTATATGGTTGAGTGAATGATACATTCCTTGCTCGGCTGGCAAGTATTGTTACATCTCCTACAATAGCATCATAGGTCTGCAATAGCATTAGCTTCCTTCTTCCATTTTATTTGGGAAAAAATGACTTATTTTCTTTTTCTTTAGTGCATGTTTGGATTCAGGGTGACACTCGATTTGTTTAAGCTTGCAAAAATATTATGCTGCCTGCCTTGATTATGTCAAACTTACCGTCAATCCTAACACGCACTTGGTTTTGACATGCCATGTAATGTTATGCCAATTATGTGTCAAATGTATATATTGAAAGAGACAAATGAAATTTTGAAACAAAAAAAATACAAGTTGACAAGAACATAATGTTGAGTTTACCTTATCTTGTACTTCACGCAAAATATCATCAAAAGATTCGGAGAAAGGGGTAAAATTATAGGGAAGATCAAAATATGTGTAACGCAGAATTTCTCGGATCTCTTGAAAAAGGTCAATACAAAAACCGGTAGCATTTTGATTTTGAGAGACTTTCACAAAGGCATCATATGCAGGATTCATAGGAATTGCAACTTGTAAAGGGTTTGTATCATTCAGTATTTTCCATTTCTTAGGTACACAGTCATTTAAGCTTTCTTCTTTAATACCATCACTTGTTTTCTCTCTAAGAGATCTAGCAAACTTCAATTTTGGTGTCCAAAAGTCCAATTCAATATCTTTCTTATCATTATCAACCACTTTTATGACTCTTAACATTGGAGTGTAGTATAGTTGTCTTTCTTTGAATCTTATATCACCTATTAAGCCATTGAAATTGGAAGATAACATTTTCTCCAGTAAAATTTTTGAGCTACTAGAATTAGTATTCATTTTCTCCAAAGCCTTTGTGACAATTGTGATGCTATCATAAGCTAGCAAAACATTTGATCTTGGTTTGAACTCAACTTTTTCTGTATTCTCAGCTTGAAAATTTTCCTGCAAATGAGTATAAGCACTAGAGCTTGTACAATAGTTGGTTTTGATTCCCAAAACGCCTTCCATAGAAGATACAACTGATTTATCTACATACTCCAACATGCTTGTAATCTCCTCATTGATTATCCAAGATGATTCTTTCTCCAATAATCCAATTTTCTTAGCTTCTCTAAACAAATGGTTCACCATAGGCAATGATGCTTGAAGTACAACAAAAACACGAGATTTTAACTGCAACAACTTCAACAATTCATCAAGAACAAACCCTTTCGGATCAGATAAAGAAGTGAATGGTGGAAGAACTAATAGATACTCAATCTGCAAGTTTAACTTTTCGAGAGCCTCAGATAAGAGGCTTAACATTCCAGAATCGTTGCTATAAGGGTTGTCTTCATATATAATTATAACTTTCTGAGAGTTAAAAGCATTAATCATATCAGCTATGAAGTTCATTTGTACAGAAAGATTTTGTGACATTTGAATCAAGAAAGGCCAACGAAGTTGCACTAATGATGACGAGACTGATGGTGGAGAAGAAAATGAAATTATTGGTACTTGAAACTTTGCTCCAAGGTCAGCAGCAAGAGCTGCTTCTTGCCATGTTTCCATGCCAATAATTACTTTAACTTTTTCTTTAGTGATTAATTCTTCAGCTGAAAACCAATTAGAAGCAAGATATTATGTATAAGTTTCTGTTTGGATAAACAACTTAAATAAGTGCTTATTATATAAATGTTTATATACAAGTTGTTTTCTATAGTAAAAAAATAAAATTAAAATTACTCACCAACTGAAGCTGCCTGTAAAGGGTTTCGACCAGAATCACGGAAGAAAATGACTATGTTTTGATTGTTATAATAGTTATTGAAACTTTGAGCTGCAATTTGCATGGCTGTTCTCTGTTGTTTAGCTGTTTCAGAATTAACATCCATGATCACACCAATACTTGTTGTACTTTGGGAACTATTGGCAAGACATTGGAATAGGAAAGGCAAGATTATTAAAGAAAGCCAAAGCAAAAAATTTGGAATTGAATTCAATGTTTGAGCATAAAAAATCATGTTGAAACGAATGATGAAATGAAGGTGTAGGATATGGATATTGACATTTATATGTATGGTGAAGGGAAAGGTCAATGGTCATAGTCATAATTTAAAAGTTGAATAGTCCTCTTGACGATTGAAATGGAATGCTAGTGAATTTATGAGAATGATTCTGCTGTTAATATTATGTTTATTATTTAACAGTTCCCGTGGCAGAAACACATTACACGTAATGGATTTTCTATGAGAATGATTCTGCCCTTATAACATGAACATTCCAGTTAACTTGACTTTTATTATCCTGAACACGTGACAAGGTGGATGACATAATAAGGGTAGAAGCTGTTTAAATTATGTACGCTATCATCATTAATGTTTGGTTCATAATAAAGTGTCATATTACCATTATTATAAAACCATTTTCAACGGTATTCTTTTATAAAACCTATTTTAAAACACTCTTAAATAAATCTCTAATTATGTCAAATTTTATTTATATTAGTCTTTCCGAGATTTTTTCAGTGGCTACATTGATACTAATAGGTTAAATATAGATATCAAATTAAAACTAATAATAAGTTGATAAACATAAATATCTAAGTTGGTAAATATATATTATGATTATTTTAGTGACTAAAGTGATACTGATTGGTTAAATAGGATGTAAGTTACTGCCTTCATTATAAGAGAGCTATCAAAAATATCAAAGACCGGCTCTTAATTGTTGGAAACAACTCTACGGCCACTTCTTCTTCTTTGAAAGATTTCAAAATCTACAAAGCTTTTGGAATTGTTGTTAAATCCTCCTAAAGCCCTCTAACAAAAGATGTTTTTTTGCACCCTCACCTCTTGGTTGGTTGAAGTGCAATTTTGATGAGGCTAATAATCACGGCCTTCTTCCAGCATGTTGTGGTGGGATCTTCCTAACAAGCATGGTAATTTTGTTCTTGTGTTTATGGATAAGGTTAATTAGTCCTCCTCCTTCCTATCTTGCAGAGTTCAATGTAGTCATCACGGCCATGATGATTGCAATGGAGAAAGGTTGATCCAAACTTTGAATTGAAAAAATTCGACAATTGTTAGTTCAAGTTTTCCACAAGAAATCTTTGTTACTTTGGCAAGTTAAGCATCAATGATTTAGTTTAATAACTTACTTTGCACAGAAACATCTCTTCGTATCACACATCTATAGAGAAGGAAATTCTTGTGTTGAATTCATAGCTAACTTGGTGTTGGATTTTAAGTGTGAGTGTTAAAGTCCCACATCGACTAGGAATGGAGAAAATATTGGGTTTATAAGAGAGGTGGTCCGTACCACTTTGCCTTAAAATTTTGAGTGAATATGCGGCGTCAATGTCTCTTGAAACCATGAACATTTAACTCATTGACACTTCTAGCGCTCTCCAAACTCCCCAACAGGTGGTACATAGCCTGATTGGTTCGGTGGAAGAGCGCACGTGGATCCTAATGTGGATCAAGGCTAGTGATATGGGTGACTCACACTTATGGAAGAGATTGTTGGGTTTCAAGTGTGAGTGTTAAAGTCCCACGTCAATTAAGAATGAAGACAATATTGAGTTTATAAGAGAAGTGACCCATACCCTAATTTCTTAAAGATTTTGGATGAATATGTAGCGTCAAGGTCTCTTGACACATGAACCTTTACCCCATTGACACTTTCGCTCCCTAGACTTCCCAACACTTAGGTCTCACTTGTAGCTCCCTCACCATTTTTGAATTCATTCCTTTAGACATAAGGAAGAATTTTGTACAAAATAAACTAGGAAAGTCTTCTTTTACATTTTGCACATTTTTGATGGGTCTTAATTGGATTGTCCCTTTTTAATGCTTCTTTTTAGTTAATATATAAGACTTCATTTAAACAAAATAGGTTAAATAGTTATATTTTTTATTTGATTGAGATTTTACTTGTTGTTAATGCTCAAATGGGATAGAGCTAGTTCAAACTAAGTTTTTGGGAATTGTGATGATCATTGTTGACGTTGATTTTTTAGATGCTTTTGCACTTAGGATAATGATTCCTTAAGTTGTGATATTGTGTTTCATCTTTGTTGGGCATATCCCATCCATTTGTGATATGCGAGATGGTGGTCCTATGAATGATGACTTCTCAAAAGCCACTAGTGGAAGGTTCTACCATTCTCATTCAAGCGGTCTTATAGAGAACAAAAAGAAGATATATGTTATGATTGTCCTCTATGTCATATAGACACCTTATGCATACCATAACATGTATAAGGAGTTTGATGACACTACCCTTTTTTTTGGGTTATCTGCAATGGGAAAGTTCTGCGACTAGATATTTACGTGAAAAATGTTTACGTCAGTTTGGGTATGTTAAGAGAATTTCTAAACCAGTTTCCGATATGTCATCTGTGAGCATTAATAGATAGTTTAAGTCTAATATTGTCAGTAGGCCATTGCTATTACAGAAAATGCAATGGTGGTTTATTTTCCCATGTAGTGTTTGGATTAGAATGTTATTTTAGAGTATCATACCCTCACATCATTCCACCTGTGCAACCTGCAAATGATGTTAGACACTTACATGATGGAGGACAATTAGATGACATGCCACCACTTCTACACGGTATGACTGACCAGCAGTGCCTACAGATGATAACATTTCTTCCAGACAACTTCATGGGTTTGATAAATCCAGATGGCGAGGTATATGTCGGGTTATTGCAGATGGTGGTAGACCTTTGTAGATTTTATTTGTTTATTATTTATTTTCGCTGACATTATTTTAGGTTTGTATTGAATTATTTGTATATCATTGACACTTTATCTTAACATGACATTAAATGAAAATTACCATTACATTACAACTGGATGAACAAAACTTAGCATTAACATTTCTTAACATATTTAACATGAAAATAACTTAAACATTACAAGATTCAGAATGTTTCAACATCTTTATAATATCGTCGACGAATCTCATAATTATCACATATATCTCGATTGAACCTTTTGTTTCCTATCAATGAAATTTTCTCCACACCACTTTTAAATTTTCAGTGATCATCAACTTAAAGTTATTGAACTTCACATTTCCTTCGTCTTCAATCGATGGTGAACGATACTCGATCTTAACTATTACTTTGATGTCCAGATAATGCAAGAGATTATCTAATTTGAATTTTAGAACATGAAGATGGGTGTCCTCTATGAGCTAAAAATTAATAGGAGGACTCACGCCGTTAAAATACACAAATACGAGATACAAAAATTGAGACGTTGCGAAATATTTTTGTTAACAACATATGAGACATATTAATATAAATTATAAATTATTATGGTCCACACAAAAATATCAATATAATCATATTCATAAGAAGAGTGTCGGTAAAATCACAACTGCAAAAAGAGGGTCTTCTATGAACCTAAAATCAATAAGAGGAGTTACACCTTTAAAATACACAAATACAAAATATCAAAATTGAGATATAGCAAAGTGATTTTGTTAACCACGTATATTTATAAATCATTATGGTGCACATAAAAAAAGTCTCACCCAATCAAAACCATACAAAAAGTGTCAAAGATTTTTTATTACAATGACACTTAATAAAAAAAAAATGAAGAGGGTATATTCGCCTTTATTCGAGTGCCCGGTCTAAGTTGGGGGTGGCGGGGAGATTCGACGAAAATTTTGAGGGGTTGTCTATACTGAGAGAGTTAACGGAAGTGAACAATGGCGCAATTCTGGAAGCCCGGGACGGAAAAGCCCGATGCTCAGGTGGTAGACGACGAAGAAGGCGGCGTTCTCTTCTTACCCGGTTCCAACTCTCTCTCTTCTTCTGGCTATGGCTACGCTAGTATAGAAAAACAACGCCAACGATTACCTGTCTACAAGTACCGTACCGCCATTCTCTACTTGGTGGAGACTCACGCCACCACCATCATCGTCGGCGAAACCGGTAGTGGCAAAACCACTCAAATCCCTCAGGTATTCATTCTTCTATTCGATTTTCACCATTACAAATTCAAACTCAAATTCAATTTGAGAATTACTCTGAACAAACTGCAGTATCTGATAGAGGCGGGTTGGGCCGCCGGTGGACGGCTGATTGCTTGTACTCAACCTAGAAGACTTGCTGTTCAGGTTCACTTCATTGTCTTGTCTTTGTTTCGTTCTTTTTTCGTTCTGTTGCGATTCTCTATAATAGTGTTCATATTTCACAGGCTGTTTCTTCTAGAGTTGCTCAAGAAATGGGAGTTAAACTTGGGGATCAAGTTGGATATACGATAAGGTTTGAAGATGTTACTAATCAAGTGAGACTTGCTATCCGTTCTGTTACTCGCTCATTGTGTGATTACTTCTGCTATCACGGAAGTTGATTTTGAATGAATCGATTATGCGATATCAAATTTGGTTACTTAATAGTGAGTTGAATTTAAGTGATTAATGTTTGAATACATTCATGTAAAAGGAGCTGAACTATAATTTAGGTTAAAAATCAATTGTGGAGGCGAAAGCTCGAAATTCTAGCTTCAAATGAGAATCAGTTTGGAATCAAAATCAATCAATTCGACTCGAGAACATCGAAACGTGGCAAAATCAATTCTAGGTCGCTACAATCAATTTTGCCTTTTATGGAAGTGGAACCAAACATACACATTTATATGATGATGATGATAATGATGATGATGAATGATGATATATCTTTCATACACACGTTAACGACTTTTTGGGTTTTTTTGACAGTGCAGGATGAAACGGTTTTAAAATTTGTAACTGATGGGGTGCTCCTGAGGGAGATGATGAACGATCCTCTTTTGACAAAATATAGGTACTGAATTCAAATGTTACACTTTTTTAAGGTTTATAAATATGAAAGTGATTCTGTTCCATTTTACTTTTCTGAACTTGAATCTGAACGCACTTAAACACTTGTTTGTTATAGTGTTATAATGGTAGATGAAGCTCATGAAAGGTCCATCTCAACTGACATTTTGCTTGGACTACTGAAAAAGGTATAGACTACAGAAACAATCTGCAAGATGTATTAATGTTGACAAAATGTTGTCTTTTTTATTTTGGGGAATCAACAGTTGGCCTCTTACTTATTTTCTCCACAATTCATGAATCTTTTAAATCATATATTTTCTGTTTGTTACTTTTCTAGATCCAACGGCGACGACCGGAGTTGCGATTAATTATTGCATCTGCTACTATTGAAGCCAAATCAATGGCTGACTTCTTCCGCCCAAGGTTTTCTTCCTATCTTGCTCTAACTCAGTTCAGGTTTTCATTTTCATTTTCACGTTAACACTCTTATATTAGTGATATCTGTGAAAAATAGGAATAAGAAATTTTCTGAATGTGCTTGAGTGAGTAAAGCACTCAGCAACCTTGATATTTATACACACTATATAATTAATTACATATTATGTTTACAAGGAGAAATAAATAATAGTCCAACTTCCTAAATGCATGAATCTAAATATACATGAACCTAAGACTTAAATGCTCATTTTAGTGGGAAACATACAATTTATTTTTTCTATTTTCAACACTCCCCCTTAAGCTGGTGAATAAGTATTCTCCATTCCCAGTTTGGATACAATTCGTTCAAAATTAGTGCTACTCAATCTTTTAGTGAGTATCTGCAAGTTGCTCTTGTGAGGACACATATCTAGCTTCTCCTTAATGAAGTGTCTATCAACCTCAATATGCTTAGTTCTATCACGTTGAACTGGATTATGTGTTATACTGATAGCTGGCTTATTATCACAGTAGAGCTTCATGGGTCCTTCCCATTTGATTTTCAAATCTTCTAAAATAATTTTGAGCCAAAGTAATTTACAAATGCCTTGTGCCATGGCTCGAAATTCAGCTTCTGCACTAGAACGGGCTACTACATTTTGCTTCTTACTCCTCCAAGTCACAAGATTTCCTCCAAGAAAGATGCAGTACCCTGTAGTGGATCTTCTATCAACAATTGAACCTGCATAATCTGCATCAGTGTAGGCCTCAAGGGTTGTATTTCCATTTCTATTTGAACAAAATTCCTCTTCCTGGAGTTCCCTATGAACTGCTTGTAAATGGTTTTCTTTAGGACAATGCATGAATTGCCTAACCATACTTACATCATATGCAATATCTGGTCTAGTGTGAGACAAGTAAATTAATCTCCCAACTAGACGTTGATACGTTTCTTTATCTATTGCAACATTTTTTTCTGTATTGCTCAATTTAAGATTTGGACCCATAGGAGAACGCTCACAAGTTTACACGCTGTTTTTCCTGTATCTTTGAGTAAATCTGTAATGTATTTTTGTTGAGATATAAAAATTCCTTTTCGGGAATGTGCCACCTCGATTCCAAGAAGTACTTCAACTTTCCAAGAGTTTTTATTTCAAACTCCTTAGCCAAACACTGACTCAAGATTTGTTGCTCCTTCCAATCATCTCCTGTCATTATAATGTCATCCACATATACTAACAGAACTGTTACTCCCCCTTGTGGCGAGTGTTTGATGAACAAGGTGTGATCCCCTTGACTTTGCTTGTACCCCGAAGATGTCATAACCTTAGTGAATCTTCCAAACCATGCTCGAGGTGATTGTTTTAGACCATATAACGCCTTTTTCAACCTGCAAACTGTATTGTCAGACACATTTTTTTCATATCCCGGTGGTACCTGCATATAAATCTCCTCTTCGAGTTCCCCATGTAAGAAGACATTCTTCACATCAAATTGTTGTAAATCCCAACCATAATTGACAGCAAGTGACAAAATTACTCTCACTGTATTCATCTTCGCAACCAGAGCAAATGTCTCTGAATAGTCAATTCCATAGGTTTGTGTGAACCCTTTGGCAACCAACCTGGCTTTATATCTTTCGATTAATCCATCGGTCCTATATTTTACTGTGTGCACCCATTTGCATCCAACCGGCCTCTTTCCTTCTGGTAAAGTCACTAACTCCCAAGTTCCATTCTTCTTCAATGCGTCCATTTCGATATTCATGGCTTGCTTCCATTTTTCATCAGACCATGCCTCAGAAACATTAGTAGGTATGGAAGTAACATTTAGGTTTGTAAGGAAGGCTCTGTGGGTAGGTGAGAATTTTTGAAAAGAAAGATAGTTTGAAAGGGGATATAAAGGCTATTTGGTGCATTTTCTGGTACCTTTTCTAATAGAAATTGGAAGGTCTAGGTCATCGTCTATTGTTTGGGTCATCATTTTATCTTGTAATTCAGAAAAATTAATTACCTCATTCGAAGGAGTCGAGTCAGACTCTTGAACTTGTGTCGATTCAGGAATGACCTTTAACTATGTAAACCAGATTCTTTCCATATCTTACATCCATTTCAGGTCCAAGTTCAGCAAGTGGTGTATTTGATTGATTTGACTCAACTCTTAGTTCTTCAGCCTCAAATGGGTCTGATACAAGTTTGTTTAACTCAGGACCAGAAAGATTGAGTCTATTTGACTCTAAACTGGAAGAATTAGGTGGATTTGACTCGAGACCAGAGAGAATGAGTGTATTTGACTCATGACTAGAATAACCAGATGTATTTGACTTAATACTAGACAGATTGAGTGTATTTGACTCAAGACCAGAAAGATCGAGATTTTCAAGCTTATCTTCCTTAAAATTCTCCCCCCTGAAGATAAGGTTAAGTGAAGTACGGTTCCTCCTCATGAAAGGTAACATCCCGCGACACGAAAAACTTTTTAGATGGAAGATGGAAACACTTATATCCCTTTTGAGTAGAGGAATACCCAACAAAACACATCTTAGGGCTCTAGGGTCGAGTTTTTTTTTGTGTTGACTATGCACATGGACAAATGATACATACCCAAAGATTCTAGGTTTAAGATTACTACTTACTGACAAATTTGGATAGAAGGAAGAAAGAACATCCATAGGACTCTTGAACCCTAATACTCTAGAGGGTAATTGATTAATAAGATATGTACTAGTGAGGACAAGCTCCCCCCATAAATATTTTGGATCATTTTGATGAAACAATAGTGCTCGAGTTTGGTCTAATAGATGGCCATTTTTCCTTTCTGCAATTCTATTTTGTTGTGGTGTTTTAACACAAGAAGACTCATGGACAATTCCCCCTTTTTGACAAAAAGAAGTAAGAACGTGATTGAAGTACTCTTTTCTATTATTAGAAGACCTAAGCCTTTTGATGTTTACTCCAAATTGATTTTTAATCATGTAGAAAAACTTTGGGAAAACAATACTGACGTCAGACTTGTTTTGGAGTAAAAACACCCAAGTAACCCAGGTACAATCGTCTATAAAAGTAACAAACCACCTAGCACCCGTTACATTTGGATTGGTTGAGGGACCCCAAACATCTGAATGAATAAGATATAAGGGGGAAAATGCTCCTTTTGTTGTTTAATGGAAAAGGTGAACGCTTATGTTTAGCAAACTCGCGCACATCACAGTGAAGACTTTCAATATCTATCTTATTGAATAAAGATGGAAACAAAACTTTAATTACTCCAAAAGAAGGATGCCCTAATCGACAATGAAAAAGAAATATTTTTTCCTTTTTACAGAGTACTGACTCTGCCATAAATGAGTGAGACAAGTGACCTTTTGTACACTGATCTAGTTCTTTAAGATAGTAAAGGCCATTCTTTTCTCTAGCATGTCCAATCATCTTTCCCGACTCCTTAACCTGAAATATATAACAATCATTATGAAAAGTAACACTACATGATACATCATTTGTAAGTTTTTGAATGGACACAAGGTTCATGGATAGTTTTGGAACATGGAGGACCCTTTTTAGGGTTATAGAATGATTTATTTGGATATCTTCAATGCCCGCTACAGTTACAAGAGTACCATTTGCAGTAGAAATATTTTTATTACTGGGACAAGGGAATATGTTGAGAATTGTTTCGAAGAGGGTGTCATGTGATCAGCGGCTACTGAATCTAATATCCAAAATAAACAAGAAGGTGTTTCTGAGACATGAAGTCCAAATGAGAGTGGAAACTTACCAGAATACGCTACACTGCAATTACCTGATGACTTTTCCATACTATTGATCATGAAGGAGCAACAACCAAATATTTGTGTATAAGATACCAAAGAAAACAAGATTCGATGAAGAAATCAACCCAAAAAATATAGGGACAGCGGCTGGAACTGTGCAGAAAGCGACTGGAACGGTGCAGGCAGCGGCTGAAAAATGTGCAGAGGTACCGACGGCTGCAGAAAACTGTACGGACAGCTACTTGAAAAGTATAGATAGTGTTTAATTGGAAAAACTTGACAGCAAGTGTTGCCCAGTCAATATTGAAGTGTGGTGACAGCAAGTGTTGCCCAGTCAAGATTGAAGTGTTCTGACAGCATAAAAATGTCCATTCAGATTTCTAAAGAATGATTAGCAGAAATAGAGTCCCCTTAGATTAGGAGCTCCAATGCCATGTTAAAAATAGGAATAAGAAATTTTCTGAATGTGCTTGAGTGAGTAAAACACTAAGCAACCTTGATATTTATACACAGTATATAATTAATTACATATTATGTTTATAAGGAAAAATAAATAATAGTCCAACTCTCTAAATGCATGAATCTAAATATACATGAACCTAAGACTTAAATGCTCATTTTAGTGGGAAACATACAATTTATTTTTTCTATTTCCAACAATATCCATAAACTTTATATTCATTAAATGTCACTAGATTTTATGTGGAAAATTAGATTATCCGTAAATATCTGATTGCCTGGTTCATGTTTAGACAGCTAAAATATGTAAGCAACAAAAAGCACGCTTTTTCTTCCAGTCCTAAGGCATTACTGTATTAATGGTTTGTTATGCTAATGTGTTCTTGTAAAAATGATCTTGTGGTGTTGGGACATTGTATCACCCACAAAACCACAAGAGAATATATGTTATACATACATATACATATATAGGGAGCAACTCTAGTGAAATCACTTCGTTATTATTTATGAGAGACGAGAACAACAAATATTAACCAATGGATCAACATTAGTGAAAATCAATGGTCCACACATTTTAATTTTTGTTATTATAATTTGTCTCTTGGTTGGGTACATCACAACCCTATCTCGCATAGCAGTTGTTCTCAGTTGCAACACAACCTTTACTCATAGGCCACATGCGTTTAGTTAGATATTGAGGTCTCTTCACAGAAGAATTTGAAAGTAGTTGTCACCTCTATTAATTTTATTTGGGCCAAATAGTCCTTTCAATGATGATAAATCTGTAAAACTTGGTCAGACACATGAGTTAAAGAGGTAGTGCACCTCTTCCAGTTTGCTTATCACTTTTCTCATTTGGTCAGTGCACCTCTTCCAGATTCACTTCCAATCCAAGCTAATTTTATTTATAACAAATAGGATTATGCACTATACCTGCTATTATATGGAATGTAGTACAGCAGTATTACTGAACTCTGAAGTTAAAAGTTTTGTTCCTGTTTTTTTTTTGTCTTGAGTACTCAGGTTTTAATTATCACATTAAAATATGTGCGTTGTTTAACAGAAAAAAGCGTCGAGAACCTGAAAATGAGGAGAATGGACTAAAAGTTGAACCTGCAATCTTATCAGTCGAGGTACTTTTTAGATGTGCAACTCATGCTTGCATGTCCCCTGTTTCTCTAAGTGCATTTCTTTGAGGCTAAACATGGCTAAATTGAAGGTTAAGTTAATCTAAATTTTCTGTGTTTCTTCTCTAAGTATATCAGTTTCTCTCTAGCTCTCAGCCCATGGTTATTCCAAGGTTGTATCTGATTTGCAAATGGAAGCTGCTACTGTATTTATTTTCTTCTATTTAATATTAATAATATTACTTTTTAAAAGAAAACGTCATTTTATAGAACCTGAACAACATTGTTATTTCGATATAAAATTGAGAAATTACTATGCATTTGTTCTTTATAGGTTAAAGTATTCAACTTGCATATAAAATATGTTTTATATTTTTCAGGGAAGAGGCTTCAGTGTACAAATTAATTTTGCCGAGGAACCATTCCATGACTATATTCAAGCTGCTGTTTCAACAGTACTCTCGATCCATGAGCGGGTATTTTAACTTCATGAAATCTCATGGTTTTAACCAATTTGTTCCATTTTTGAGGCATTTAATT